AAGGCAGTCGCTTAACCAACTGAGCCACCCAGGCACCCGGCTAATTGAATTTAAATTAAAAAAAAACTATGACCACATCATGTAGGCTAGGATCACAATTCACCTTCTCTCTGTCTTTCAGGGTAGAATGTGATGGCGGGCAGTAGCGGGACTAAATTTTTGGAGAGACCAGTGAACACGAATGATCTAATAGAGGGGGAAACTCAGCACAGTCATTTTTTAAAAACGAAACGAAAGGGGCACCTGAGTGACTCAGTCGATTAAGCAGCCAACTCTCGATTTCGGCTTGGGTCTTGATCTCAGTGTCATGAGTTCAAGCCCAGCATGGAGCCTACTAAAAAAATAAATAAATAAATAAAACGAAACAAAAAATTCTCCGAAGATATTTCTGTGAATCATCAGGGGTCCAAAGTAGTCTTGGTTTTTACTGGAAAACAAAGTGAGCTCAGGCGGAGCGGGTGTTCCTGCCTCCAACCCCACCTCAGTGGCAGCCCTAGTGAATGTCACTAACAGCTACTGTTTTCTGTAGTGTGAAAAACTGTGGAGGCTGAATTTGAGGCTCTATTCAGATATTTGTATCCTCAATCCTTTTTCCATTAAGTGTCTTCCAGAAGCGAAGTTTTCACTCCAAATACTCCGGGAAGTTTGAACCGCTCTTCCACGTGTCGTTAATGATTACATAGCTTGATATATTTTGGTTTTAGGTTAAATCAGCTGATCTTTCCCACGGGTATCAGGGAATTATTTTATATTTTCTTTCAGGCCCAGTATTTTTGAGAGATAGACCGGTGAGATTTTTCTAAGGAAATTTGTTGCCTGTTTTGCACAATTGGACAGGGTTTGGCATTGGAAGTTTAAGGCGGGATTGTTTCTTTTTATGTGTGGATTTTCGTGCCACCCCTTGAGCTTGAGCGATGCTCTTGTTAATTTGGTGTTAATTTAAAATGAGCAAAATTAGATCAAAACAGCTGACTGATGACTTTGGAGAGAAGCATTTAGTTTTTTAGGTATTCAATGAAGGAAGCTTCATGGACTTGATTCATTTGCGACTCTACGGGAACAAGTGTTTTATCTTAGGATAGCACTGGGGGTGGGCGTGGGGTGGGGGAAAGAGACCCAGCAAACTGACCCCGCAGTTGCTGAGGCCCTTGTACATTCAAAAGCCCTCTGTGTGTGGGTGGAAAAGCCACTTTGGCTAGCCTTAAAGGATTGGGAACAAAACTCCGGTTCGTCGCTTCTTACACCAGACGGGGGCATGGTGAATTTTCAGTCTCCCGAACCATTTCCAAACGAACACTCTGCTGAGGAAACAACCCAAGTCCAAGTCTTAGAGGCACCTTGGTGTGGAAATCTGGAAAGAGTAGAGAGAATCCGCACACAAGGAAAAGGGTAACGGTTTTGAGTCTCTCTCTCTTTCTTCTCCTCCCGTGCAGGTGAATTTTGTGGCATGCCAGGTCTTTGCTCTGTTTGCTGCGTTGTGGTTTCGCATCTACTTAAGTCCTGGTAAAACCAGTCCCAATGTCCGGCACACATTTGTCACCATTTTGGGCATCTATTTTGTCATCTTTTGTTTTGGCTGGTGAGTATGAGCCTCAGAAATTCTAATCTTTATCATTTGGGTGTTTTGTGGCAGTATTCTTGGCATTTTCCAGGCGCCGAGGAAAGAAATGTATTTACTCCTATTGTAGCATAATGGGGATGTCCCAGGAATGTCCATTTACTCTAAGAACCTAGAACCAATAAACTACCCGTTGGAAGTCAGTTCCGTGAATTTTGCTACAAATTATGCTTCTGCTGATCTCCCCCTGGGTCATCTAAATAGGATACTATAAAGTTTCATTTTCCAGGTGAGGAACTTTTCCTACCTGTTGTAGATATTGGTGTTTTTCTTGCATTACTGCTAGGGGTAATTGGTGTTAGTCCTATGCTGGGAGTAGAACAGTAGTTTTAGTGCTGGTTTGAGGAAACACGAGTCATTTCTCAACAGAGGGAGCCTGTAGATGACACCTTCCTCTACTAGGTAAGCTGGCCAATTACCCTGGGAGTGGCCCTTCTGGGGCGGGGGCGGGGGGAGTTTTGGGAACCAACCTTTCTGGAATGACAACTTAAGGAAATTTGTGAATTTATTCAGGATACTAGAATACTGCTCTTCAGCCTCCAGTAAAAATTTGAGAAAGGATGATGAGTATTTTGAAGCAGCTACTAGGTGAAAGTCTTGGTATGTGGGGAAGGTCAGTTTGGGTCCAGGTGGTTTAAAATAAAAAAAAACCAAAAAAACACCAAAACAACAAAAAGTTCTAGAGAAAGAAAGAATGCTTCTGGACTCTCAGTTGTATGTGTGCAAAAATATAAGCATTCCATTTATGGATTGCTGACGTGACCAGCGCTGCTGTTGGCAGACTGTCATGACTTCCTCCTGCCGTTTCAAGATCTAGTACCTTAATTACACAGAGTAAAATACTTGATTTATTTTCTCTTACACAAACACGAGTTAATGGCTCACGCGCTTCTTGGTGGGGGCGGGAGGTGGAGTGGCGGCATCATGGGGGTCCAGTAGGTCTGTTAATTTGGAATATAATCAGTGCTCCTCCTTCTCTCCGTGATGTCTTAAAGGTACTCCATACACCTTTTTGTGCTGGTGTTAACGTGCTACGGGATCATGGTCACCGCAAACGTATCCAGTATTCACAGGTAAGGTTCTGGGAGCGAGCCAGGCCACGTGAGGTTTTTCGCGACCTCTGAAATGTGTTTCCAGGGTAAAGGGGTACCTTCCCCATTTTGCCGGCCACGTGTGGCATATCCTAAGTTCTCTGGGAGTGTCAGAAGGAGAGGTGGGGACCCCTAAATGCTGGGAGTGTTCAGAGGACGCTTTGCAAACGTATCAGAGTAGAAGCAGCTCTGTGGTAGCCTCCAAACTGGACACAGTCCAAATGGTCACCACAGCGGGATACTACTCCGCAATAAAAAGGGGGGAATGATTGATAACACACAGTCACATGGATGAAGCCTCAAAATAAATAAGTGGAATGGGGCACCTGGGTGGCTCAGTCGTTAAGCGTCTGCCTTCGGCTCAGGTCATGATCCCGGGGTCCTGGGATCAAGCCCCACATCAGGCTCCCTGCTCGGCGGGAGCCCTGCTTCTCCCTCTCCCACTTCCCCCTGCTTGTGTTCCTGCTCTCACTATCTCTCTCTCTCTGTTGAAAAATAAATAAAATCTTTAAAAAAATAATAAATAGGCGGAATGAAGGACGCCACAGAAATTCTGTTCTTGAAAATGCAAACTAACTTGTAGCGGCAGAGATCAGATCAGAGGTTACCTGGGCTGGGACGGTCTGGGGAGACGGGGAAGGGATCGGAGAGGCAGGAAGAAGCGTGCAGAGCAGGTGATGGATATGTCTGTTACCTGGAATTTGGCTGTGGTTTGGTGTGTACCTATGTCGAAACTTTGTGTACTTAAAATATGTACAGTCAAATGTTAAAAGAGGAAGACGTATTCTTACTATGATATTTTGATTTAAAAGTTATAGAAGTAATTTAATTCTGCCTTGAAGGCAACATGCTTGGATCATCGATTCGGACACCTGGGTATCTGTTTAGCATTGTCTGTGTTTCCCAGGGTCTGTGTGAAACCTCAGTATTAATTCTGCCTTCCAATAGTGCCGGAATGTAAGCTCTATGAAAACAGAGTTTGCTGTTGTATCCTCAGGGCCTAGAACAACACTGGGCACAAGGGCTCAATAAATATTTTTGGAATGACTGACCGAACACCTTTGAAAAGACATTTTCCCTGTTGTGACTTCTTTTCTGATGACTTCTCTGAAAAAGCAGATGCCTTCTTTCAGCTCCGGAAGGCTCTTTGATTAATGAGACGATTAGCACAATAGTTTTCCTTCTGAAAATCATTGAAATTTAACTTTTTCATGTATAATCTTGTACATCACTTGTAATAAATGTCCGGTTTTCAAGGGAAAATATTTTTTGCATGATTCTAAATTTTATTTTCACCCAACTCTGTCTAGATGAGCTCTGAAAAAATGAATTGTAATCATCTCTCTTCTGAATGCCTTCCTTGAAAGGGATTGTGTCACTCCTTCAGAAGGGAAATGGGAAATCCATATTTCTAAGAACAGGTTTTGGGAATGCTTGATACTATAGCAGAATGCTATCTTTAGTGGGGGGTGGGGTGAAAATGTCTGGCTTTTCCCAAACTTGAGTTCCGAAGCAATTCAACAATGAATAAAAATGTTGTTCCATCTCTATAGCACATTTTTAACAACCTTACAAATTGTGACTTGTTGGCTCTCGCCACACTTGTGTGTTGCTGACGGGGTGTGGACCATTTCAGAGGGTCAGGAACCTCCACGCACGCTCGCTCCGTGCCAGGCCCAGGGCTCGTCTCTGGCCAGGAATGGAACCCTCCAGCCTTGGCCAAGCCGAGTGGTTTCCAGACAGGCTATGACTGCTTCACCATCATGATATTGTGGTAGCAAAGGGCCGTGTCATAAGACGAGAAAGAATGCCCTCTCTCTTTGCTTGTGTGGTTGCCAAGATTGCAGAAGTAGGGAGTGGTTCATAGTTTCTGATGGAGGGAAATTGCTTCCTGTTGAGGCAGGGGAAGAACATCAGCCTGGAAATCTGGCTCTTTCTAGCAGCGTGAGTTCAAGCAGTTCTCACAGCTTCTCTGTACGTCTCTAAAAGGTGGGGTTCAAGTTTTCTTCAGGATCAGGATTTCATGATTCTTTGTGAATTGTTTTCTTCCCCTGGCTGAGCCAGTTAGAAGAGTTCTGTCCTTTGGCTGGGAAGCTGAGGGGAAGGTCAGTCTTTGCTGCTACGGGGAGTTAACCCATTTCTGGACACATGGTTGTCTTTGTCTAGAGAATTCTTGGGGCACCAGCTCTGTTTCCTTCCCAAGCCACTATATGGGACGGAAAACACGGGGGTTAATTTATTATGTCTGAACCAGTTGGAGCAGAATATAGTTTGTATCTCCTCAGACGGACAGCCTCGTATCGGAATGTGGTAACGCGGTGACCAGTTGTGGGGGTTACCTGCCTTGTGCCAAGTGCTAAGCCGGGCTCTTTTAAATAGTTTTCATTGTTTTTAATATGGAAAGTCTTATTTAGTGTATCATTTGATATACTTAATATTTCATATCATTATTGCAAATATATTCTTTCTAGGACAGTTCTATGGGATTCAGATTTTTTTTCTCTGCCAAGGGGAGGAAATGAAAGTTCAGAGAAGTAAATAGGTATACAGATCCATGAATTTGCACAAATTGAATACATCCATGTTACCACCCCCTGTCCTTCAGCTTCCCAGCCAAAGGACAGGGGGAATATTATCATCACTCTGCCCCGATCTCTACCACACCCCTCCTTCTTAAAGCAACTACTCTCTCGACTTCTCACAGGAGTTTTGCCATTGCTGGGCTTTGAAATCATGTTGGTCTCTCTCCAGAATATGTACTCTCTCTACCACTTCTGGATTCCTTAGATTTTTTTCAGGTTTGTCTAGACCATGAATACATTGCCCTGTTGTATTGGGACATAGTAGTTGGCGCCATCCTTAATAAGTAGCTCTTATTATAACTAGTAAGTTGAACTTGCTTTTCTCTCTGGGTGGAGGGGCAGGGGTAGGTATGGGTCTAGCTCCTGTTGAGGAGAAAGAGGAAGCAGGCATGGCTGCAATCAAAAGCGCCCTGGGAGAATTTGTCTTTTGAGTTTGTTTTGTGATTTTTTGCCTTGACCCTCGCGAACTGGCTAGAGAAAGAAACAGAGCCTGGACATGGACAGGCCTAACTAACTCCATTCTGCTTCTGCTCAGGTCTTCAGAAAGTTGCTTTCTCTTAGTCACTTGCTTTGTTCACCGTCTTCCTGTTTTGGAAAGGGTTAAGGATGAACCCGAGGCTGGGAAAGTCTTTTTTTGGGTTGTAACATCTTTGTTTGTAAACAACAGTTAAGAGAACATAAAGACATGTAGTGCTTGAGAGTTTTCAGAACTCTTTCACACTCAGTGTCTGGTTCTCCCTTGCCACCAAATGAGTTTTTATTATTCCTACTGCACTATTCTGTAGGTTTAGTCTTCATAAGTTATTTTAATGTGAATTTGTCAAGATCAGTATAATTTAATATGAGAAAATACGTCTTCCCTGTTTTATGACCCATGTTTAAATGCTATACCTTCTGCATTTATGTCTGTCTCGGAGGGGCTCCTGAGCCATTTAAAATGTCAAATGTACTCCTTTCAGTTCATTTCAACTAACAGTACCCGAAGCCCTTCCATGGTCAAGGGTGGGGATGCCCAAGGTCACCGTGAGTTGGCGTGACAGACACATGCATACCATTTCAGCGTTATAATCGTGTACGTTGGCATGCAGAGCTAAAGAAATACTGGCAGTGTGGCGAGGAATTGTGCTGGAGGAGGGGTGGGATTGGTGGGGTGAGCCGGAGCCAGGGGACTGACTGGGAGCTGAGCCTTACCTGGTGCTTAGGCAGTTCGCAGGTAGACGAGAGGATGGAGAAGGGGGTTGCAGGCAGGGGAAGGGGCATGTGGAAGACATTTGGCCTGAAAATGGAAGCTGTAATTGTGGAGAGTGAGCAGCTGGTGTAGTTTGAACATAAGGTGGACCAGGAGCGTCGTTGGAGAGGAGTCCAGAAGGGAGAGCTAGAGCTCAGTGCATGAAGCACATCGCATGTCGCATTCAGGAGTTTTGATGTGACTGGACAGTGGGACCCATAGGAGGCTTTTAAGACAGATAACATTTATTTAGTTATTGGTCTGTGCAGCACACAGTCGTCTGCTCTTGTGAATGAAACACACAAGACATTCTTGGCCTTCATGGGGCTCTTGGTCTAGTAGGGGAGACAGTGGTTGATTAGATTGTCACTGTTAAAAAGAAAACCGTAGACCCACAATGGAGTCACTTGGGCCAACTCACCAAACTGGGGCTTAATACCTAACCTCGCTGCAGTTTTCAGCCTCCCCCAGAAATGTAAGTCCTCCTCGGTCAGCCAGGAATTTTCTGGTCAGCACCAAGGAGGATCTGTCACATGGCCCTCTCCGTCCCCCAAAGGGAAGAGGAGGTCATCCCGCATGGTAAGACGCTTCCCTCTAAGGGAAAGTGGCCTTGCTTGAAACAGTCCCTTCTCTTTTCCTAGTCACTTCCTTATTCCACCCTTCTGCCTGTAAAAACCTTCCATTTTGTGCCACTCCTCGGAGCTCCCCTCTCCTTGCTAGATGGAATGCAGCTGCCAGAGCGTGACATCACTGGACGAAGATAATTAGATCTTCAGCATTTACCCAGTTGAGTTTTTGTCCTTTCACGTCACAGATGTAGAATTGCAAATTGATGATGTTCTGAAAGGCCCCGCGTGTGCGTGCGCATGCGTGCGTGGGTTTTGCCGGTTTATCCCACGAGGTCAGGGCCAGTCTCAGTAGGAAGCCGCGGAGCGATCCCGAGTATGTGGTAACCGGAGCCTCAGGCTTGGGCAGGGAGGGTCCCGAGCAGAGCCCTTGGCAACGCTAACACCTAAGGGGAAAGTGGAGTAAGATCAGCTGAGTAAGAGCCGTGGAAGAATTAACCGGAGAGGTGGGACGCAAACACGAAGTAGAAGCCAAGAGAGCAAAGTGTTTGGGGAAGGGAGTGGCCGGCAGGGTGACGCTGGCCTGTATTTTACAATGATCTGGTGTAAGCACAATGGTTTGGGAAGAGGAGAATCTGAGAGCAAGACCTTCCAGGTCAGTGGTTCCCAGCTCCGGCTGCACAATGGACTTAACACCTGCTGGGGGTATCCTGTACCAGTTAAGCCCGGATATTGGGGGTGAGGCCCAGGTGTCTGCAGTTTGTAGAGCTCCCTGGATGACTCCACTGTGCTGTCCCCGTGACAAAAGATGAAGGGTTCCAGGCAATGAGTGCAAAAGTGAAGGGGGAGCGCACGGACTGGGTGGCAGATTGCGATGGATGACATGTGGGGAGTGAGGGAGAGGAAGAGGAGAAAATTGATTGTGTTACCGCCCTGCGTAATCATCTGATCCTCTCTGTTTCTGGTTTCAGATACTCCTTTTTTGTAGCAATGGGATACCTTACAATATGTCACATCAGCCGCATATACATCTTCCACTATGGAATCCTCACTACGGATTTCTCTGGGTGAGTATCTTTTTTTTTTTTTTTAAGATTTATTTATTTGAGAGAGCGAGAATGAGAGAGAGTACATGAGAGGGGGGAGGGTCAGAGGGAGAAGCAGCCTCCTCGCTGAGCAGGGAGCCCGATGCGGGACTCGATCCCGGGACTCCAGGATCATGA